CAAAAATATAAATTAAGTTCACTTAAGCTTTTAGGGACAGCCGGTGAGCCCATTAATCCGGAGGCCTGGCATTGGTTTTATATTATAATTGGAAAAGGCAACTGTCCCATAGTTGACACCTACTGGCAAACAGAAACAGCAAGTCCTTTTTATAAAACTAATTTATATACTAGACTACACTACACTATTAATTTTTATTTGAAGTTAAATTTATAATTTAATTATAATTCAATATACATAACAGGGCGCACCAATGCTAACTCCACTACCAGGTTGCACACCAATGAAACCTGGATCAGCTACTTTGCCTTTCTTTGGTGTAGTCCCAGCTATATTGAACAAGCTAGGTCAAGAGATAATAGGTCCTGGTACAGGCCAACTAGCATTTAAGCAACCCTGGCCATCTATAGCCAGGACATTAATTGGTAATCATCAACGTTATGAAATGACATATTTTAGCAAGTTTCCTAATTATTTTCAAACTGGTGATGGTACGTTTACTGTATATTCTTGTTTTTAATTTTGAGAATGACCAAGGATGTATAATTAGTTGCTCGAAGAGATACTGACGGCTATTATTGGATAACCGGTCGATGCGATGATACGCTCAACGTTTCCGGACATCTGTTATCGACAGTCGAAGTCGAGTCGGCTATTAGTGGACATAAGGCCGTCGCAGAGGTGGCAGTGGTGTCGACACCCCATCCTATTAAAGGGGAATGTCTTTACTGTTTCGTAGTCCTCAAAAATGGACATCAATTTAATAACGAGTTAATACATGAACTAAAAAATAAAGGTAAATTGTTAGATGAAAATACTTTACTTGAATATAAATATTTGCCTGAAAATCATAGCTCGGGTGAAGATCGGAGGGCTGGCAACCCCTGATATTTTTCATTCCGTTTCAATGTTACCGAAAACTAGGTCCGGAAAAATCATGAGACGAATTTTGACAAAGGTTGCCCAGGGTGATTCACAATTAGGTGATATATCTACAATGGCTGACGAGACCATAATTGATGAACTTTTTGCAACAAGACAATTTGCACTCTAATTAAATATACATTATTATAGGATTTAGTTTAAAATTAATAATGAAATTAACTATTAAATCTCTCGTATACGTATAATTTTTAATGAGTCAAATAAAAAATTTTACAACATAGAAAAACTGATTTTATTTCTTAATACAAGTAATTAAAAGGCATTGCCCTTTTGTTACCCCCTTTGTACAGATTCTGAATGAACATATTTATTATATAACCTGTATTATAATTTTTTTGCAATTTCATTTATTATACTAGCAATAAATAATTAAATAATTAAAAATACTTTATGATGCTATATAAAGTTTTAAATTGGCAAATATAACCTCACTTGTACCAGTATGAGTTCTAAAAGCGATTTAAATGAATTTCACAATACTTTTAACGAGATATTGTGTGCTATTTGTCCCGATCATGAAACACATGAATTGGCAGAAGTTTATTCATGGATAAGGGACAGTATATTATATAACGTACCGCATGGAAAATTTAGCCGGGGTCTCACTGTGGTATCAACGTACAGAGCAATAGTGGAGCAACAGGGTAAAGCACTAACACGTGATGAAATAAAACTAGCAAGTGCGTTAGGTTGGTCACTCGAGTTTCTACATTCGGCTTATTTAATAACTGATGATATGATGGATCAATCGATTACTCGGCGTAATAAACCATGCTGGTACAAAGTGGTCTGTAATTAATATAACAGCTACTATAGTATGATATCTATTATAATAAAGATCGTTTTTATTAATTTATTATTTAATAGGAGCATGTTGGCTTAAGATCATGCAATGATGCCAAAGTATTGGAACAGGAAGTATATCATATAATTGAAATATTTTTCCACGACAAACCATGTTATGGAAAATTAAATGACCTTCTGCACGAGGTATACTGTATTATGTAAGAGTTAAAATTGATATAAAAGGTTGCGTGACTTGAATAGGCTGCAAGGTACATTGTGTTTGGACAATGTATGGATATGACGTCTAACCCGACCGGCAAACGTCCTAAGTTTCAACTATTTACAGACCATAGATATGCGTCTATTGCTAAATACAAAACATCGTTGTATTCGTTTGTATTGCCGGTTAGAATCGGTACGTATAGTATATAATCAGTAATACTTTATATAATTGTTATAAATATCAATATATTATTATTTTATCAAGCAAAATTGACAATTAAGTAGTGGCTAATTTAGTATTGCATTATAAGTTTTAATAGGTATTTATTAATAATTAATTGTGAATTTATAATATAATTATCAGCAATGTACATGTCATCGTACGATTCACCCGATGCTCATCAAATGGCTGAAGAAATGCTCATAAAAATCGGACACTTATATCAATTACAAGACGATTATTTTGATTGTTTCAGTGACCCGGATATAACCGGAAAGATTGGACGGGATATACAGGAGGGAAAATCTAGCTGGCCAATTGTGACAGCATTTAAATTATGTGATCAGGATCAACGGGAAACACTTGAGAAACACTATGGTATTGATGAGGGTACATCGGTTGCTATTGTTAAAGATATTTTTACCAAGCTAAGTATTAAGGAATTGTATTTAAAAGAAGAGACTGAGTATTATAACAATTTGTGTAAATCTATAAATGATTTAAAATTGAAAAATCAATTGTTAGCTAATATTTGCAAACAATTTTTGGATATGATTTATAAACGGAAAAACTAATTACATGAATTAATAAAGGTTTAATTTACTAACATTATCATCTTAAATTTTACTTTAAATTGTATCGATTTTAAATTAATCATATAAATTAAAATAGAGATATTAAAAATAAATTGTAGTTGTTAAAAGCAAAAATATTAAAACAAGATTCGTAATACAAGTTAATTATGTGGTTTAAATACAATTTTATTGTTACATTATTTAGACATTTTCCGATAAAATATACTTTATAGTATTTTTGTAATTTTAAAATATATTTATACATACTTATAAGTTATTTATATTACCTCTCTTTTGTTAATTTTACAGACAATCAATTCAAATACGTATTTAAATGAAAATATTTGTTTATATTTACAAATTAAGGAAAATTTAAAATAATTTATTAAATTAGGAAATCTTTAAAATAAATTATTTAAATAACAAAAATTATTAGTGTTTGTCAATTACATGGCATTCATATTTTCTCTGATAATTCTCGTTAACAAGTGTCAGGTAAAATGAGCCGGCACCTAAATGTTCGAGAGGTCCGGTAGGCATATATGGGGCCCTATTATGACACAGTTCTCGTAGTTTTAGAAAGCCGTCAAATATTTGTGGCGAGACTTTGTGTCGACCACTCAATCGGTGGCCAATGTCTCCGATACCGGCCATCAGTCTCGAGAGCACCGTTGGGTCGGACGTGATTTGTGCCGAAAACATGGATGAAGCCAACCCTGACCCATACGAAAAGAATAGGACCTTGTTGTTCACCAAATTACTGATAGGTTTACTAATTTATATATATTTTTCATCATTAGTTTAATAATTTAATCTTAAAATAAATAATAGTGTTTTTAATATTTACCTTAACAAGTACGATATTAAACTAGCATAAAGTGATGCCGTGTACATATTTCCTAAACACCTTGTTAACATCAACGCTGGATCAGTTTTACTTTCAAATATACGCTTGCTACATTTAATTAAATGTTTTTCTAGTGACATATTGTCGTACGTGTCCTCGAGTTTAGCATTTCTATGGAAGAAAATAAATTAAAATAATTATTTTATTTATTTATTATTACTTATAAATGTCTAGTTCCTTTTCACATTTAA